TGGTGGCGCCGGAGAAACCTTCCACAGCTGAACTGAGGAGGGGCCCTCCGGTGCAATCCTGCAAACAGGAAAAAACATTGCCTACCCAGAGATACCAGCATACTAAGAAGGGCGTGTAGGATCTCCGTCGGCTAGGGGCCATGAAATGGAAGGGGGAAAAATTTACCCCCCCCCCCAATAAATGAAAGCAGGGGGGACTTTGTATGCCCTCCGTGAAATTTGTATACAATCTGTACAAGTCAGTAGAAAAACAGACACACATATGTAGTCCAACAAAAACATCACTTCCTCCTCGGTGGAAGTAAAAGGACTACTGACCAGACCAGATAGGCGGGATATTAAAATAAATGAATGAATGAATGAATGAATGAGTGAATGAATGAATGAATAAATAAATAAATAATAATAGGCTAGAGGTGAATGGGATACATTGATCTTTGGGAATAGGTCAGAATCAGGCTCTGGGAAGCTGAAGGGCTTGCGGATGTCAGCCATCCCAGGGGCACGTCCAGGGGCCGACAGGCCACCCCACCCCTGCTAACCTTGGCACTTGGTGTCAGGATCAGGCCTACATGTCCCTGGTTAGGGAAGGGCAGGATCGGGGCCAGCCTGACCCAGGAAGGGATGGGTTTTGGAAGGGTCAGGCCCCGCTGCTGAGCCATGCCCGAAGGGCCCACCTGGAAAAACACCCGGAGGGAAGGCCTGTTTTGGGAGGGGGTCTTTCCCCCCCCCCGACTTTGCCTCCTCCACGCAGGCGCCCTTCTGCCCTGACGCTCCAGCCTGGTTCTCGGATCCTGTGGTTCCTGCCTTGCCTGCCAGCCTTAGGGTCCCAGCTCTGTTCCCCTGTGTGGTGGATTGGGCCCTGATACCCTGGCCAGGGGGCAATATATATATGTGTGTGTGTGTGTGTATTTTCCCTGGCCAGGGGGCAAAAGGCCACCTGGTAGTTTCCAGACCCTGACACTTTGTAAGTAAGTGGTTTCCTTATATATATATAACACTGACAACAAATAGTGTAATTAATGTTCCATAATTTTGTGGAAGTGCTTATTTATTTGTTTAATTATTTATTGCATTTATACCCCACCCATCTAGTCTATTGACTACTCTGGGTGGCTTACAACATATATAATAAAACAATATAAAATATAACATGAGATCATCTGGAGAGAAATCGGGGAGAGGTGATGGGCCAGGCAGGCAGGCAGGGCCAATCTTGGGGGTGGAGGGAGGGAGCACTTCGGGGGGGGGGCGATCCCATTGCAAAGCTCCCCGTTCTGGCCTACATGGCCCTGGTCACTCTCCCAGACACCTCAGTCTTTTCCCTGCCTTTTGAGATGCCTCCTGGGTTGTTTTTATTTTAATCAGGGAAAAAAGAAATCAATTCCTTTATAAGGTGGTGCTGGAGGGAGAGCTTTGCGGATATCCCAGGCTGGCTGAAAGACGAACTAGCGGGTCCTGGATTGAATCCTGCCTCAACCATCCCCAGAGGGGAAAATGTTGAAGCTGAGGCTGTCCTGCTTTGGCCTGTCGTAAGACAGGGTTCCCTGCAAGAGGCAGTAATACCCGGGAAAAGTGGAAGGCAGCAGAGAAAGAGGAAGGTTAAATATGAGACAGACCAATTCCTTAGAGGAAGCCACAGGAACGCCCCTGTATGAGATCTGGACCCCACACAAGGTCTAAACCTCGAGGGCTCAGCTTACCTGCTCTGAGCTGACACAACTTGGAAACAACTTGCTTTTTAAAAGTGGTTTTGATTTACACAAAAATTATCTTTAGAGGAAGCCACAGGAACGCCCCCTGTATGAGATCTGGACCCCACGCAAGGTCTAAACCTCAAGGGCTCAGCTTACTTGCTTTGAGCTGACACAACTTGGAAACAACTTGCTTTTTAAAAGTGGTTTTGATTTACACAAAAATTATGACTTCATGCAATTTGAAATAATCCACAAGGAGGATACCACCCCTTATTTTATTTTATTTACATGATGCATTTCTCCCAGAAATGGGACCCAAGGTGGCTTAAAAATGCAGTGAAAAAAACAATGGAATTGAATTTTTTAAAAAAGTTGCAAATATTAAAATTAAATATTAAGTTCACTTCTCTATGAAATAGCCATAGCGAAGAAAACAGTGTGCCGGTACATTCCCTTAAGTAAAGATCCGATATTAATTTACCTAGAGAAAAGTGAGGAAAATGGCTCATCACCTAAAATTCATTAATAATAAATTAATAAAATAATGTTTACTAATAATAATAAATTAAGGAAAGAAATTATTAATGGGTGTGACCCATTAATAAATTAAATAAGAAAACAATAAACCAAATAACTAACAATTTGGGAGCAGGGTGAATTTATGAATGGTTTCCCAGTTCACCTGCTCCTCACCCAGGTGTTTCCTCCTGGGGGGGCCTGGGGGCAGTTAGTTGTTTCCAGCACAAAAACACTTGCATATAGCACACACAACAAAACCAGACAGGAAAAGGACGATGGGCGGGATCTCCTCGCTCTTCTCAGTGGACCTCTGCTGCCGACTGAGCTGCTCCTCCAAATGCTGGATTCTCTCCTCGCGGTTTGCTCTGAGAAGACCACAAACAAGTTAAGCAATGTGGGGGAAATGGCCGGCTCTGTCCTGACCCTTCCCCCCCCCCGCCACCACCTGGGAAACAGAACAGAGCCTCTGACGCCAGCTGCTTATAATCTGTTCTACAGGAAGATTCCCTTTTCCACGGGATCGGTATCCACTGATTCACTTATCCACAGTCTAAAAATATTAAGAGAAAAATCCCAGAAATAGAGGTTTCTAAAGGTGAAGTTACCAGAACTGGTCACAAGAGGGCACCAGAGACCCTGTTATGTATGGCATTCACTATTATAATAGTATTTGCTCTAAATCTGTGTTTTTCAGCATGGGGGGGGGGCCTTTGGAACCCATGAAGGGGTCCTCCTGTCTTCTACCAGCTGCCGATCCTGTTCTCCGTTCGTTGGGAGGCCAATTCTGCCACCGTACGGCCTTTCCAAGAAATTCTCCTACAAAAAGTGGGAGAAACCAGAGGAGTTGCTATTATCCTGGACTTGATCCCAACCAACGGAGAGGACTTTTTGGTGGGAGAAGTGGCAGCAAGAGGAAACTCTCGGGAGGAGGAGGAGGGGGGAGGAGAAAGTGACCAGGTTCTACATTCTGGACTTTAGGAAAGCCAGTTTTAATAAACTTGGAACTAGGGTAGGTAAGGTCCCATGGCAGGAAACCCTCGGTGGAAAAGGAGTCCGAGATGGGTGGGAGTTTCTGAAAAAAGGAAATTCTAAAAGCACAACTCCAAACGATTCTGACCATTAAAATGGGGGGGGGGGAGACCACACACACACAAAAAGTCCACGGATGGTGCTTTTCTTACTTCTTTGTCCAGATGTCCCGCAGCTCATCGGCCATCCTGGACACCTGCTGTCGAAGGTGTTCAATTTCCTCTTTAAAAAGAAGAAGAAGAAGGAAAAGCACCCATCAGATTTCCTTGGAAGCGTTTCACGGAGCTGTTCTTTAAATCAGGGCACCCACCCCTTCCCATCCTCGGCTTCAGACCTGCCCGTTTTCCCCTTATTATCCCACCACCCTGGCGCTTTGCAATCCCTTTGGCAATCCCTAGGCTGCGGTACCAGGGGTCAGCCCCTGGAGGGCAGCAGAGAACAGGCTCATCAATAGAAGAAGGAATTCCTTAAGGGCTGATCTTGAAGGATTGTCACAGCCCACACTTTCCTCACTTCCTGCAGTTTGGAAAAGAGCTGGCTGGGTTGTTTTGAAGGGTCTTCAGAACTTAACCCCTTTGTTCCTGGAACGCTGCAGTGCTTGATGGGGGTCTACCCTGTCGGGAGGGGGGGGTGGGCTGCCTGGCATCCTTCCATCCCAACTACCAGCAGGTAAGCCGGCCCTGACCAGCAGGGAATCAGACACCCTGATCGCCCGATCCCAGGAACAGCTGTAATGGGCCAGGTTAGCTGGATCCACTTGTGGGGGAGGGAGATCTTGTGCTCCGTAGGGTCCTCCACTCCACCCCTCTCTCTGTGTGCAACACAACATGCGCACCCCCCAGTCCCACCTTCCCTTACTCTCACCCTGGAGATTCTTCTTTTCTTCCTCATGTTGTTGCATGTCTGCTGTTTGGGCTGTGATTCCTGCCTGCAGATGGAGGGGGGGGGGAAGGGAAATGGGAGCCTTTTTATTCCATCTTTTCATATACACCTGCTAGCCTGCCAAGCTCACATCCCTTCTTCATCCTCCTCACCTTAGGACAGCAGAGCTGGAAGGGACCCTACGAGATCATCCAGTCCAGCCCCTGTCAAGGAGGCACCCTGGGGGGGGGGGAAATCGAACTCCCCACCTCCAACTCCACAGCCAGAGGCCTAGACCCCTGAGCGACCCACAGAGAAACCACAGCCGCAAAACATGCTGCTTTCCTGTGGATCTGCTAACCTCGGCCGTCTTGTTGACGGACTGGAGACCGAAAAAGGGAGAGCGAGGGACAGGGGCCAAAACAGCAATGGGCCAAGACCCGTCCGGTCGCTCGCCTCCGTCGGCCTGACCCACCTCTCCTGGCAGGGTTTGTTCTCCGGTGAAATTTTGAAAAGAAAAGGAGAGAACAATGGATAAAAATTCATATCACCAGCTGGTCCTGGCAGGCATCCCGTAGCTGCCGGGTTTCGCTGAGGGCCTGGTGGGCAGCTTCCAGCTGAGCCTGCATCTGGACCCCTTCCTCCTTGGTCTTCTCCAAGAGCTTCTCGGTCTGGTTTGAGTGGACCAGCCGAGCACGGAGGGCTTCGCCGTCTGCCTTCTCCTTCTGCAACAGCTCCCGGTTCCTGGAAAGGGCGCTTTTCAGCGTTGCCTTCTCCCTCTCCGCGGCTTCCGTGTGCTTTTTGAGCATGGCCTGCAGACCGGAGACTTCTCTTTGTAGCTGTGCACATCTTTCGGAAAGGGTATCGTCTGGCTCGGGGCGAACCTCTGGCTTCTGCCAACTTAGAGACACGATCAAGAAGATGAAGAGGGTGGCGATGATTCCACCGCACCAAACATGCTTCTTCCCCCACGTCTTATATACGTTTGAAAGAGTTTGGTATAGGCTGGGCATCTTCTCCTCTACTCTGTCCCACACAGATGTGGGGAGACGCCTATAGGGGATCCCTGAACCCATTGCAAGAGGCAGCTGTTTCTGCTACAGCTGCGGAGCAAAAACATTCAGAACTGCTCTGTGACACCAACATTGACCCCTTGCTCTCCCTCCCTTCCAGGCCTCTCCTCCCCTTCCTTTTCTGAAAATGCACATGACCGAACAACAGAAAAAAGAACCAGGAGAATCGAAACTGAATTGCTCAGGAGTTGGTAAAGGAAAAGAAACTGCAGGGCCAGGAAGAGGGAGAAAGAATTCCACACACACACACACCCCCTCTGATTTCTTTTTCTTTCTTTCTTTCTTACTTTCTTTCTTTCTTTCTATTTATTGCATTTATACCCCACCCATCTAGTCAACTGACTACTCTGGGCGGCTAACAGCATATAATATAAACAATTTAAAATATAAGAACAAAGTAACATATTAATAGACAGTACTCAAGATGGAAGAAAAAAAAGTAAATCAAGTAGTGGCTGGAGCGAAGGTTTTCCATGTGCCTTTTCATTTAAAAAAAAAGATGAGAGGGTCAGCTCAGCTCCCATTTATTTCTTTGTTTATTTGTTTGTTCGTTTAAATTATATATTGCCCATCTGGCTACCAAAGGCCACTCTGCTCTGGCCAGTTCACAGTAAAATAAACAGCGATAACCTACCAAAGAATAACCTACGAAAAAATAGCCACCTACACCTAACACTATAAAAATGTAAACAAACCTATCGGTCAAATTAAACTAAAAAAGAAAGCAACATAAGAACAAAGAAGTAATGCAGCATTTCATAGAATCATAGAAAAGTGATGTTGGAAGAGGGGGCCCCACAAGGCCATCCAGTCCAACCCCCTCTGCTCAAGGCAGGAATCCCGATCCAAGGCCTGCCAGGGGATGATCCAAGTTTTTCTTGAAGGCCTCCAACGTCAGAGCGACTCCCTTGAGGGTGATGGGATCCGTTGTCGTGCTGCTCTAACAGTTAGGAAGGTTTTCCTTGATATTCCACCGAAATCTGGCATCCTCTCACTTGAGCCCCTGGTTGCGTGCCCTGCCCTCTAGGAGGACGGAGGACAGATCCTGCCCTTCCTCCTTTGTAGGACTGTCTTTCAAGTCTTTGAAAAGGGTGACCTGATCTCCCCCTCACACTTCTTTTTCTCCAGGCTAAACATGCCCGGTTCTTTCAGCCTCTCCTCATAATAAGGCCTGGTTTCCGGCTCCGGCCACATGCTGGTTTCTGGTTTCCCCGCGCGGTGCGGTGCAGCTGTATCTTTTCCTTCTGGCTACTATGTTCTTAGGGGCAGCCCCCTCCCCCATGGAATGGTTTGGGTCCAGAAAAGGGCCCCAAACTCTGGGAACATATACAGTACTTGATCATATACATATACCACAATAGGTTCTTTGCAGGGTCGGTTTTATGGGACTACAGCACCCATCGTCCTCCAAATGGTTCTGTAAACTGTAGACAGTAAAATGTTCATTTCTCAGCTCATTCATTGTGTGTGTGTGTGTGTGTGTGTGTGTGTGTGTGTCTGTGTCTGTGTCTGTGTCTGTGTATGTGTCTGTGTCTGTGTCTGTGTCTGTGTCTGTGTCTGTGGGTTTGGGTAGGGTAATCCCTTGGGTTTAAACTGTGGACAAAAGCACCTTAACTCTTGGGAGTCCCTTTGGGGTTAAAAAGACTTCCAAGAGATAAGGCACTTTTGTCCACAGTTTAAACCCAAGGGACTCCCCAGAGTTGGGGCACTTTTTCCTTCTTCGTCTGTCTCTACTAGATTCCTTTTCAAGCAGAGATCCTGGGACCACAGAGAAGATCCCCCTGCAAGAATATTCCCCGAATCAGGCTCCAGAATTCTCTCCCCCCCCCACCTCACAAGGCAAAGCCCATTCATTTCCTAGGTGTTTTGCTTGCTTTTCCACCCTCACTGGCCCAAAGCAGGAAGAGGAAGAGGAGGAGGTGCCAGAAATGCCTTTATTTTCCAGGGCAAGACAAGAAGCGACCCCACACGCCAATGGGACAGGGTGGGGTGCTAAGGTTCTCTCCCCCCCCCACTAAGTCTCCAAAGCTGCTCTGCAGGTGGAAAAGATGGGTGCAGATCGGTGGACGAAGCGGCTGGGGACGTCACACCCTTTTACAGTCACTAGGTGGCGGCCAAGTCCGAAAGGGTTAGAGGCAGCCGAAGTGGAGGAGGAGGAGGAGGAAGACAGCTCCGGAAAGGATGAAGGCTGTAGCTGGAGCCCCAAAGGAGACCCGGGTGGAACCGCTGGAAAGCTGCTCCAGCCGAGATTTCAGCTCCTGGGTTTGTGCGCTGCATCGGTCCCTGGGGAAGCAAAGCGGGTGAGCGTCAGCTGTGGTGAGAGGACAGGCTGAGCCCCTCACGTATTCACCTTAAGTAATTCGACTCATCAGCAGCTAACCCTTTCTGGTTAAAGGATGGCGAGGGCTGGCAACAGGGATCCCGGGGCACAAGAGTTAAGGCCACAGATGTGCGACCATCCGTCGTGTTTACGGTGGTGCTGAAAACTCTTACAAACAACGCGTTAAACGTTAGTTACTAACCAAGCAGAATAGAGCCTCTCCGTGCAGGGGCAGTCTGCCTTAGAAAAGCAGCCACAAGGAGCAACAACAGAGAAGGAAGGACCATTCCAGAAGCCCCCCCCCAAATGAACACAGTGCCTGGGTGACTGGGGGGGGGGGAACCAGGCGGGCTTTTTCATCCTGGAAGGCCTTTGGGGTTTTATTCTGAGAACATGGGGGGGGTGGGGGGCCTGAAAAGGATGCTCACCGTTCCTCCTGGCTCTGGCTGTGGGCTGCCTTCAGCTCCTGCGCTTGGTCCGAGATTTCCTGCTGGAGCGTTTCTGGGGGAGGAAGAGAAAGGCTGGCAAGGGGGGTGGGGATCAGCTGGATGCTTGCCCCCCACAGAAATTAGAGGGGGGTCCACAGCAACGTTTGGGGGGGTTGCTAAGTCTGTGGCTTTTCTCGTTGCTCTCTAAAAACATGGGTCAAGGCTGTTCTTTCGGTGGTGGTTTTTTTTTTCCCAAACAGGGTTGCAGAGATGAAGGGGGACCCCATGAGGCCATCCTGCCTGACCCCCTCCCCTGATTTCCTTCACCCGGAGACAAGCCTTGGCTCCTCCTTCAGGAGGTGACGTGGCTGCCTCGCGTGGCCAAGCAGCGTCATCTTTCTTACTCGGGCCACACGTGGCACCCCATGGGAAGGGGTACGCTGCACTTCCCCAGGGGGTTCTTGAGTGGGGCAGTAAAAGATAGTGCCCCCTCTTGACCCATAGGGCAATCCTCCCCCCTCCCCCCGGGTTGCATCCCTTGACCAACAGTCAGTTCCCCCCCCCCAGTTCTCTTACGCTTTTCAGCTGCACATTTCTCTGCCTCGTGCCGGGCGGCTTCAGTCACCTGGACGGTGGCATTTTCCCGCATGGTTTCCTAGGAGGAGGGAACAAGGGAACAAGGCAAGAGAGACGTTTGAGTTGCAAGGGTCACACTCACAGGCATCCTATGGTGACGTGCTATGGTCAGAATTTTGAGTTTTGGGGTTCAATTCCTCTCGCCCCCCCAGCAGAAGTGCTGGGACTGGTTGAGCAAAAATGGCTTCAAGTTCACAATATTGGAGCCACCCGACTGGGTGGGCTTTTTAGAAGTCGACACACCTCAGGTGGCCTCTTGGCCCCTTTGGGGTGAATTCAGTGCAAAATGGAACTTCTGCACACACGCACACAAACCCCCGGATCTAGACACCCTCAGCCTCAGACCCATCGATGCCAGCTTGGACTCCCAGTGAATCTGCGTTCCAAACAGAGAGGCGTAGATTGAAATGCTGGACAGGAGAGGTTTAAGGCTCTTGATTAAAACCCAAATGTCTCACCCCCATGATGCAGCTTTAAAAACATCATCATTGTCATCATCATCATCATAAAAGGAAGAAAACTTCAGCTAACTTCACTGAATTTTGGTCTGGATTCTGGTGAAGTTGTTGACGGATAACATTGCCCCAAGGGGGTGTCGTGGTGAGAGAGGGTTGGAATTTGGAAGCGTGCCCCCCCCCACGGATCCTAACACAGAGGCCCCGAACGCAGACCCTTCCTCACCCAGCAGAGGTGCCCGCCCAGGGTTCTGGGGCGCGTGGCCTGCCTCGGCTGAGACACGGCCCTGTGGCCCTAATCGGTGGGGTAAGAAAGGCAGGTTCTCTTGATGCCACCCCAGACAACCGGGGGGCGGGGTTGGTTTGCTTTACTTCTGAAATATTGCTCTAGGGTGAGACGAAAGGGGACCGGGGTATGTGTATTTTTACCAGCTGGTAGTGGCAGGTCTCCCAGCGCCCCTGGGTCTCGGCCAGGCTGCGGTTGGTGGCATCCTGCTGGGTCCAAAGCTCATGGAGTTCCCCTCTGGCCTGCTTGAGCTCCGCTTCCAAGGCCTTCAGGCGCTCCTGGGCGGAGGTGGATCGGGCCCGGGCCCGGGCCGTTTGGTTCTGCAGCTCCCACTGGCATTCCCGCAGCTGGACAGCCGGACTCGACAGCTCCCGGGCCAGATAGAGGCCCAGGAAGATCACAGCCAAGATCCACCCCCCGGCGCAACACCCCCCAATGCAGCACCCCCAGAGACGCTTGCTCCTCTTCTCCATCCCGGCCATGGTGGGCGAAGTGGGCACGGGGTGCCAGCCGGCCTCGCTTCCCATCCAGAGGATCCGTCCGAGGGCCCCGGCGTCGTCTTGGTGCCCCCCCAAAGGAAATCTCCTCTCTCTCCTCTGCCCCACTGGCCCGACCCCCACGTCCTGCTTCGGCTGACCGGCCAGCCCCCTTCCTCCTGGTTTCCGAGAATTCACATGACACAGAAAGCGAAAGCTATTGTGTTTTTGGAAAGGAGAGGAGAGCCTCCAGCCAGCAGCAAGCGGGGGTGGCAGTGGGAAATGTCTGTTTTCGAAGGGCAGAAAAATGGGGAAGGACGAAGGCGGCCGATAAGGAAGAGGCGCTCCAAGGAGACCCACGCAGGCCCTCTGACCAGGAGGCCCGAAAGCGGAAACTTAGAGAAGTTTGTCTCTCTCTCTCTCTCTGTATCTTTTCCAAAGGGGCACCCATTTGTTTGTTTGCTTGCTTAAAATGTTTTTAGCCCGCCTTTCTCCTTCAAAAGGACGGAAGGCGGCTTCCACCTGAGAAAGGACAAAAGAGGCGCTCCAAGGAGACCCACGCAGGCCCTCTGACCAGGAGGCCCGAAAGCGGAAACTTAGAGAAGTTTGTCTCTCTCTCTCTCTCTGTATCTTTTCCAAAGGGGCACCCATTTGTTTGTTTGCTTGCTTAAAATGTTTTTAGCCCGCCTTTCTCCTTCAAAAGGACGGAAGGCGGCTTCCACCTGAGAAAGGACAAGATCGAAAGGTTTCCGAAGGGGCACCCATTTGTTTGCTTGCTTGCTTAAAATGTTTTTAGCCTGCCTTTCTCCTTCAAAAGGACCGAAGGCGGCTTCCACCTGAGAAAGGACAAGATCGAAAGCGGACAAACCGCCACCCGTGTACAAATCCTTCAGAAAGGATGAAACAAAGGCCAGGTTAAAAAACACCAGAGAGCCACAGAAGAGGAAGAAGCTTTTGGAGGGAGCCTTTGCTTCGCCCAGAGGGCCCCTCAAGCCAAGCCCCCCCCAAAAGTGAGGAGGGTTCGGGGGGGGGGTTCAGGGCCGTTCCCAAAAGAGGAAAGGTGGAAGGCAACGCGCGGGAGTAAAAAGAAGCCCCCCCAGAAACCAAGGGGGCTGAGTCAGGCACTTGCAGGCGGGCTAAGGCGGAAAGGGGCCACGGAAGAGGCTGCTTTGGGAGCAGAAGGCCTCCTCGAGAGAAAGCCCTTCCTCCCGGGGAGGCTGAGGGGCCCAAACCCGGAGCCTGGCTCCTTCCCCAGCCGGCAAACGCCGGCAGCTGGGCTCCCGCAAGCAGCCCGGTCGGCGAGATAAAACTCGGGCTGGGCGGCGGAGAGAGCCTGTCGGATGCCAGGGCCGGTGAACGAGGCGCTCTCTCGGGGGCGGCGCGGCTTCCAAGTAGCACGTATCCGCGGATTTCCTCATCTGCGGCCAGAAAATGTTGCCAATATCGTATTAAAAGGAAACATTTCCGGAAGCCGAGATTTCCAAAGGTGTCGTTGCCAGAACGGGCCGCCAGAGGGAGCCGGAGGCCGCGCTGCGCGGAGCGTTCGCTCTCATCCGGAGGTTTCAGGATCCGCGGTCGGAGGGCTTGGAGCCCATCCGCCCCCCACACACCACGGATTCGGGGGTCCCGTTCCCTCTTCTTTCCCTGGCGTGATTTTTTTACGGCTCGATCCGGAGACTCTCCCGGTGGCAAAGTGAGCGAGTGAGTGAGTCCTTCTTGTCTCCCTTCTCTGGGAGGGTCCGACTGGGGGGAGGGGGCGGGGGTGAGGCGTCCTGGCAACGTGTTTCGTTTTGTTTCGTTCGCCTGCTTTTCTGGGTTTTTCGCAGCTCTGAGTGGGAGGCATGACTTGGGCTAAAAGAGGACATCTTAGGGTTGGGCACAGAGCTCCGCCAGGGTCTGTCTGTCTGTCTGTCTATCTATCTATCTATCTATCTATCTATCTATCTATCTATCTATCTATCTATCTATCTATCTATCTATCTATCTATCTATCTATCTATCTATCTATCTATCTATCTATCTATCTATCTATCTAATTTATTATCTATCTATCTATCTATCTATCTATCATCAAGTTTCAAAGGCTACCAACCGCGAGCTTGCCTTTATTTTTATTTTATTTTATTTCTCGGCAATCTTTTGCTTCCTCTCTGGCCTGCTTGACTCCCTCCCTGTCTCCCTGGGCTTTCCTGGTTGGCTTGCTGTTCCTGCTGGTGGTGTTGCTGAGTTTTCAAAAGGCGTACAAGGCCCCCATACCCAGGGCTTTCCGATGGGCATGGACCTTGGGCATCCTCCTCCACCCTCCTCTCCCCTGGGGATTCCCCCCCTCCCCAGGCTTAACTTGGATCCTCGCAAGAGCTCCTAAAGAAATGGCTCTGTGGTTGGGGATCCCCCTTTGTCATGCAAAACGTCTCGAGTGCCTTAGGTTTGCTTTGGCCATCAAGAGCCCTTCACTGTACAAAAGACCCCCCCACCCTTGTGATTTGGCCCTAATCCAGCTGCTCACCTTTATGGGGCAGAACTGGTGGCTAAAGTGACCGTCACAAGCATTTGAGGACACTTCCAGAGCTATTACTACCCCAGTTCTTTGGGGCTGTTCCTGGGCTTTGGAGCTTCGGGTGGCCAACTCTTTCTGGATCTCTTTCTCCCCCCGGACAGCGGAAAGAGTCGGCAACCGTAATTCAGCAGCAAGGACCTTAAAGGTGCAGAAAGTCAGAGCCAGATAGCATTCAGAAGACTTAAAATAAATAAACAAACGAATCCTCACATTCTTCCTATTCCAAATATGGAGAAATCCACAGCTGTGGGGGAAATGATTATCCAGAGAGCAAACAGACCCAAAACTCCTGAGTGAATTGTGGGTGTTTTTTCCCCCTTTGTGGCCTCTGGGTGGAGAAATGATGCCTTTCCAGGCCTTTTAAATCCTGGTTCGGTGGCTCTTCTGTTTGGATGTGTTCCGCCGGGAGAGACAAGGCGTTGCTTCCACTCACGTCCAGTATCTTTCCCGTCTCCAGCGTCTCCCTCCTCGGAGCCTGCTAGCCGCCTACGAGCTGGAGATGTGCTTGACGGTCTTCCAGTGACAAGCCTAGGATCCAGAAACTGAGATCGAGAGCTTTCCCTCCCCGGCAGGAACCGGCTGAGCCCAAGGCTTTGAGGGTGCAGGAGCTGCAAGGTACAGTGGTTAGAGCACCTGTGTTGGTCTTGAGAAAAAAAAGGCAGGACCAAACCCTCAGAGCCAATATCTGAAAAGACAGCTGTGTTTTCCTTTTTATTTTCTTAAAGATGCACGCGGCAGATTTCCAGCAAAATAAAATTCCCCCCGGGGACTTCATGCAACACAAACCGAAGGGCCGGCCTAATTCTGCCAACCAGTGCAATCACATCGGCTGCCTTTTAATGTGATAACGATCCTCAAATGCACGTAATAGGCACATGATTGATTATCTGGGCCAAATTCATCAACTCGGTACTACTTGGAGTTAATTTTCTGCTTATCTGTGAGTTATTAACAGGTTGAAGACAGCTTTCTAAGCTGCGCACGTTCCTATAACTGGGGTGTCCATAGAAATCCACTTTTAAAATAATATTGAAGACCTAGTCAAATTCATGGGTTGTGTGTGACCTTCACTACACATCAAATTCAAGTGTTTATTTAAAAAATCCATTTCCATGGATCCAGCTTTTCAGCATTAAGCGTTATGGATAGAATCATAAAACAGAGTTAAAGACTACCTGTGCACACAAATGCTGCATGTTCATTGTATAATAACGATAATAGAAATACAGGAGGACCCCCCTATCTGCAGGATTGGCATCCGCTGATTAAATTCTCCACTGCCTGAAAATAAAAATTAAAAACCTTGGAAATACATATTTATTTATGTGTTTTCTGCGTATATGTACCAAAACTGGCCACAAGAAAGAGCCAGAGACTACGCAATGTATAGCGTTGGATACTTCCATGTTTTTTGGCATCTGCTGGGCTGAGGCTTGGAAGGGATCCCTGCAGATGCTAGGGTTGTACTGAAGAGTATAATGTGATATAGCAGATGCTAAGGTTGTACTGAAGAGTATAATGTGATATAATATAATGGTAAAGGTAAAAGGTTCCCCTTGACAATTTGTCCAGTCATGTCAGACTCTAGGCGGCAGTGCTCATCTCCGTTTCCAACCCATAGAGCTAGCGTTTGTCCGCAGACAATCGTCCGTGGTCACGTGGCCAGTGTGACTAGGCACGGACGGCCGTTTACCTTCCCACCAAGGTGGTACCTATTTATCTACTCACATATTTGCATTTTTCCATGCTTTCAAACTGCAAGGTTGGCGGGAGCTGGGACAAGCGACGGGGGCTCCCTCCGTCGCGTGGATTCGATCTTACGACTGCAGGTCTTCTGACCTTGCAGCACAGAGGCTTCAGCGGCCTCCATCAGGAGACCGGAAATGATCACATGGCCCTACTGAGGATTTTATTACTGGGCACTCTGTATGCTGGTTTTCTTCCTTTCAAAGTGTTTCCCTCTCAGATGTGTGCGCAGAACCCTTTATAAACCCAAGGGGGAAAAAAGGAGGTTGGAAACACCGTGCTGATTTCGCCCGGCTGAGAGTGCAGAGGCTCTCTTTCTGTATGCTGGTTTTCTTCCTTTCAAAGCATTTCCCTCTCAGATGTGTGCGCAGAACCTTTTATAAACCCAAGGGGGAAAAAAAGGACATTGCAAACACCGTGCTGATTTCGCCCGGCTGAGAATTCGTGTGTCAAAATCTTCTCTTCTGTAAAGGGAGGGTGTGCCAGCTGTGGGGCAGACCTCTGGCTCTCCTCCTTCTGCCCAGACAGGTTTGGCCTCTCCGTCTGTGTCTCTGGTGCACAGATTCGCCTTGGCCGGCGCTGGCCAGCAGGAGGTGCTCTTGCAGTGCTGGAAAAAGGGGGCTAAGGGGGGGCCGCTTGTTGAGACACACACACACACACATACACACATATGCATAGAGACACTCGCCGCACACTCTGTACAAAACACGGCAGCCTTCCCAGCCTCGGCTCGCACAATCTAGCAAGACCGGGAACAATACCCGCCGGCCAGGGATGGGAGGCTGAGGTGGGCGCCTCTCCTGCCACGGCCACCTCCTTCTCTCTCTGTGGAAGCCACGGATCTTGAGCAAGGAGAAGGCGCAGGAGGAGGAGGAGGAGGAGGAAGGCAGGCAGGCAGGAAGGAAGGACGAGAAGAAAGACCAGGGGAAGACTAAGCCGGCCAGACCTGCTCTCCCTCCCCTCCCTGAGCACCTTGCACGGTGGCCAGACTGTCCGGAGGAGGAGGAAGCCGCCGGAGCATCCTTGAGCAAAAAAAAAATGGAGTGAGTATCTCCTTCTTCCCCCCCCCCAATCCTTGCCCCACCCTTCCTACTCCCTCGGCTTTCTTTCAACATCTGGACGGTGCCCGTTTCTGGTGTGTGGCTCTCCGGCTCCCTCCTTCCCTCTCTGGTGCCCTGAGCATCCTGCCAACCACCGCTCCCGGTTCCCAGCATTTTCCCCGGTGCACTTCGGTGTGGCGGCAGCCGGGCGGAGAGGTGGCCTCGGAGAGCATCCTGAATCAGAGATCTCATATGGTGTGTGTGTGTGTGTTGGAAAAGGTAAACACCTGGGAAATGTTAGGGAGTGTCTGCGCACCCCGGTTTGAAGGGGGGGGAGAGACAGAACCAGAGCACGGGGCACGGCGGGTCTCCTTTCCCCGATGTTGCGCATGCGGCTGGTCTAAATCACTCAATCTCTCTCTTTTCCTTAAAAAAAATATTAACCTGTTGTTGTAAGCTTGGATGTGTGTGTGTGTGTTGTCGTTGTCTGTGTGTGTTGGTGTGATGCTGCGTGCCTTGGCTCCGCCCCGCACCCTTCCAGTGACTCAGGCGGTTTTGAGGCGGAGGTGAAAAGCTCTCCTCTCCTCTCTGTGTTCTTGTTTTCCACCGACAGCTCTCCTCTTTCAGGGTTGGGTGCGTTACACCCCAAAGCCACCCAGACTTTCCTCTGGGGACCCCAAAACCTTTGTGCCCCCCCCTTCCTTGGTTTCTGAGAATACCACAATTGTTGTGGTTTTGAAACAGTTGTGTTGGAGATTGGCCTTGGCCCTAAAAATGGGGCTTCCTTTTCCGTACAGGAAGCCATCCTGGCAGGAGGGGGCCTGGCTTAAAAGCGAGGGACCAGGTTCGAGGGCCGGGGGGTGGTGGTGTTAGAAGTGTGAGGCCTCCTCGCTCGGAGGGGCAGCGCTACAGCGTTCTGTTTGTCTTTGCGGTCCTGTCATATTTCATTCACGAGAAGGAGACACCCAGGCCCGCACAGCCGGTCTCTCCTGCCTCCATCTTCCCCTTTGCGGCTGGGCCAGTTTGCACCTGGGGGAGGGGGAACACCGCGGTCAGTCCTGCTCTGTGGGTCCCACTTGCCTGGCTCCTTCTTCTGCTGAGAACCCACTGAGGGGGAGATGGAAGGAAGAGGGGGTGCAAGTGTCACATCTGGGTGCCCACTCCAGGCAGCTGATAACGGGGACGTGAAAAAACTGCTTTCCACAGCAGCCTCCCCTTAGGAGTTGTTGGCGCCAGGCAAAATCTCCTGGGAGGGCGATCCAAGCACACTGTTTTGGGGGATTAGCACGTGCCTGATGGCAGCGGGGTTGTGTTTCATCCAGAATCTGCCTACCATCCCCGTTCGGCAGAGAAGGTTCAGCCTCTCACTTTGTGCTGTTTGAATGTTGGTGAACATTCCGCCAGGGGTCTAGAAAGCCTTTTGGGGCTCAGATGCCAAGCCTCTTCTGGAATTCTAAGGGGGGTTTTGCAGGAGGACCTCCACACACGACTTGCATTTCTAAGGACCAACCTGTCCCTGAAAAAAGGCAGGCGTTTGGGAGGAAATCTGCATTAATCTGAGTTTAATCCAACCTAGTCAGGGCTTTTGCGGTGCTGGGTTCAGGAGGTCTGAAACGCTGCATCCTGGGCTGAGGCCAGGCCTGGCAGGGTTTCTTCGGGAGCAAAGCAGTCCATTTAGCTGTGCCTTAACTCAGATCGCCTTCCTTCTCTCTGGACCAGCAGGAGAAGATCCGGCAAAATGACTCCACTCTGGGTTTTTGCTTCTGATAGGGAGGGAGGCCCATTTCAGATTCTGGATGCCGGTTCGCCTTTTTTTTTCAAAGGTTTCATGCGTCTTTCCAGGCCCCGATGGGTCTCTGCCCCGAGGAACACTCGCCTCTGCGCGACACAATCTGGGCCGACAGAAGGACAGAAACAGCCTTTGAGAGGTTAGGGGACTCTGGGTCCCATCATGCTCTGCCACTGAGTGTGCTCCCTGGGGCTGATGGGAACTGTAATCCAAAACCAGCCGCTTCTCCTGACAGTGTGGGAAGCGGGAAGGTGCTCGGCTGCCAACCAGATCCCCTCAAAGCTCCTTTCCTGGCCGAGAATTAAGATCTACTTAATTGGGAGGCTTTGGCCGACGAAGGAGCCTCGGAGCGAAGGAAGGCAAGGTTTCCCTGGTTCTGAACTCCGTTTTGGGCCTTTGGCAGAGCGGCTGGATCAAAACAAGCCGAAACTGGGCCTGGAATGAGGCAGAATAGCTTTCCTGACATTTGCCTTTCGGTCAGAAAGCAAGTCCTGAGCCTTTTGGTTCTACGTTAAGAAGGCGTAAGCTGTTTATTCTAATGGCATTATGATGATTAGGGGGATGATTGGGGCTGAAAGGCATGAAGGAAAGTGTAAACAGCGGCTGAGATGGACCCCCAAGGGAGAAGCTTCCAAAAGTTACTTCCTTCCTCGAAACACTCTCCCTGACATCTCTGTTTCTTCAGAATGCAAATACAGGATTACAGAAAATTACAGTATAGGCAAGGAGATTCCACATTTTAAAAAAAAAAATTCTGAATTTCGTGACAGCATGAGTGGTTCAATGCAGAGGTTGGATGGCTCAGGATCGCTTTCTCTGAAGATTCCTGTATTGCCAGGGGGCTGGACTAGATGACCACTGGGGGCCCCTTCTGCCTTGACCCTTCTGTGATTCTACCCCAGGGGGTCTTGGATGGCCCTGGACGAGATGGGCCAGCAGTGGTTGTTTCTAAAATGACTATACACACCATTTCTGCTGTCGTTTGTGGGCCTTTGGCTGTGTTGTTATTCGCTGGGGCGTCACCAGTCAGGGGCATGTCT